TCTAATACTGAAAAATTCTATTAAACAAAAACCCCAGCTCCACTTGGTATACATAAGATACCAAAATCCTGATAATAGAATGTTCTTGAGGTGACTTCAATCTTAATCTGGCTATAGCCAAACCAAATAGCTAGAGAAATGGGCACACAACCTGTTTCCTAGAGCAGAAAGCTGCGTGTTCCAGGTAAGAGTAGACTGGTGTCTGAAAACACAGCGCGTCTCCCGTTGGTCTTATTGCAGCATCTGCACAAAAGCCTGACTTCGTGAGCCCGCTTTGGGAAAATCTGTCTGCTTTGTTTTACCAAAAGGAACTATTTAATAGGCTCCTTGTGAATTGTCACAACTGAAAACAAACAAAATCGTTTTCTCATCTTACGTGCTTGTAAGTTACTGATTCAGATACTGGATTTTTTTCTTGCAATGGTAAAGAGATTGCAAAATAGCCAGTTAAGGAAGCACATTTTATTTCTAGTGGACTAAAACATAAGTAAATGAATGAGGTCCTCTTTTAAAATTAACTGTTTTTATGAAATGAATTTTTTCAACTGCCTAAATTAAAGCAGTTACAGTAGAAAAGCATGCTATTCATTGCACATTTTAAAACAACATCTCTGGGTAGCTTATTTAGAAATTGCTTAGCTGAACCTAGTATACTTACAATATTACCTTTTAAAGAACAGTTCTTATGTTGATCAGAATCTAATCCTAGAGCTACTAAAAATTCTACATACAGCACACTGATTTGTCAATGGATTTTAAAATAAAACTGGGTTTTTTTTTAAGTCTCAATATGGCTTCAACTTTGTTCTTGGAAAAAATGTACAGAAGTGTTAGAGTACCTTATGTTTATTTTCTCACTTTTTGCAGAGTTTTACAGACAATATATGGTAAACATTGGGGTACACTGGCCTTAAGTTCTGTTACGACAGCTGAAGTTCTTCCGTGATCTTACCGAGTCCTTTGGCTAGAGAACTGCAGGGGTAACATTGCAGAGTCCAGTACCTAAACAGATTTCTTATTTCCTTACTGTGACAATGTATTTTTGTTCAAACAGACTGAAGGCTTTACATCAAATGTATGATAATATTTTGTACACCTAATCAGTTTCACTCTTTTCCAGATAAATAAAATAGCTTTTAAAAGAGATATAGTTATTTTGATAATCTGATTTTATTAGACAAGAAGGAGGTTTCATATGGAATGACGTCCTTCTGTCCTTCCACTGTGATCCTGCTGCTGGTGCCAGCAGAGGTTACTGCATCTCCAGTGATTCTGTACTGGTGCTGAGGTCCAGATGCAACTACAGTTGGACTTGCAGTTATCTTGAAGTTCCCAGAGTTCATTCTGGGAACAGTTTAACTCGATCTGAAAAGGTTCTTCTAATCATAGTTTTTGTTCCAAGGTTACCACTGGTAACGCTTTTTTGCACATGCAGGCCAGTATCGTGGTCTGGGTCGCTGTGATGGCCCTCGTAGAAATCCTCCAAAGGATTTCTAGTCCATATTTAAAAGTCACCACATGACTTCACCACCCTCATCTTCACAATTGGTTCTTTTGCTCTCAGAACTACTGAAGAAAGCCCAGTATCTCAAAACCCTTCCGTAAGTCATAGCTGCTGTCACAGGCAGGTATCTGGCTTCAGACTCGGCCTTGCATGCTTCCTGTCTTTGCCCTGAGAGAGTCCAGAGGTGGCTGTGACTCACAGCTGTGCTGAGCTTCAGTGTTATTTATAGAATCAGCATTCATGACGTACTGCTTAGAGCACCAAATGCAGTTGTTAGCCTTCTAAAACACTTTGTTAAGAGTCTTATTTTTTAAGCAGTAACATATGCAAATAAATGCAAATTGAAACTTTTTATTGGACTCTGAACTCTTACTATGTTTGAGAGTATTATTCTTATAGCAAGACATTGATTTCTTCACAATGGCATGGGGTTTTGAAACTGTATTCCAGAAAAAAAGAAAATCAGTATTCAAAGTATAAGAATTAGACAGAAATTGTGACAGGCTTTTTGGGTGTCTAATGCTAGGAGTTGCACCACTGCTTAAAACGTCTTTAGTCCATGTGGAGAAGCCTGTGCTGATAAAGAAGCCATTTCCCTTATCCTAAGCTAGACATGGCAAGTTAGATTAGGTGAATTGCATCTCAGGAAGGCCTTTTTTTGTCTCTATTGGCTATAAAGGGAACTTAGACTATTAGCTTGCCTGGATAGGTATCTCTGGATGAGCGAGTTGACTCCCAGCCTCTTTCTTTGCAGTTTTATACCTTAATCTTTTGCTGCTGTCCTCCATTTCGAAATGCTGTTTCTTCTTACAAGTCACAGGAATTTATTATTGAAAAATCTCTCCAGTTCCTTTCAGTTGCTTCCTTGGTGCATGAGACTTGCAGGTGAAGAATTTTTTGCTTACAAAATACTAGTCCAGAGAGGCTGTAGCAAGTTTCCTTGCACATACTGGCACAGCCATACATGGCAGTGTGCAAACTGCATGTTTTTTGCGTATAAGAGTTGCTGCAGAAAGGTGTGTGCCAAATGTGAAATGACAGCTGGAGAAGATTCTGGCTGTATGATACTGGTGACAAAGTACAAGTTGAAATATCTTAAAACGTAAACAAGCTGGGCATAAGGTAGATCTGCTTTAGGGTAACTTCCTGGTGTTCTGAGGACATGGACAATTTTATTAATTATCTTAAATTCATTAGAGCTTGTCTTTGAAAGGTGGAAACCCATTTCTTATGCAAATTTTCCAGCTCTGTTTTTTTTGCAGACTCAGTCTTCATTCTGGTTACAAATGGGTTATTTGGTAACAGTTATTTCCTTAAGAAAACAGATGATCTTGAAAATACCTCCCTGAATTACTACTGTTATTTATTTTTTCACATAGTATTTTTTCACATAGTATCAAATTATATAGTCAACTTCATTTATAAATTTGAGCAAACATATGTAGAACTTGCTTCACTTGTAATGCAAAGAAAGAAAAAAATTCTCAGACTTTTAAATATTATAGCATTTTTATTAATGGTCTATTAAAACCAGGTAAGTAAGTTCATACAGAAACATGAAATTGGATATTTTTATGTTCAGGCTGTAAACATTAAACATCATTAGGTGGTAGCCAATGACTCCTGTCTCTATGAGGCAATTAAATGCTTTGTTTTATGAGACAAGCCTATTGAAAGTGTTCAGATCATATAAAAACTTAGATATGGAAACAGTCAGTGATGTACACAGTGATCAGGCATTGTAATAAAACGCTGGAGGTTGGTACTAGATGACAATGCAATGCTGGAGCTTACCATAAATCACTTAAGAGAGCATTTAAATGATCCTACTTCTGTTACTTTTTTTCTTTCAAATTCCATTTAATTCAGAAAGTTATACTTATTTTTTCTGTTTCTTTTAAATGGAAGAGCCCCCTTTATTTGGGTCCCCAGACATATTTTGCACTTAATATTATTTGATTTTGTTTGTTTGTCTTTTTGTCTGTGTTGCCCTAAAAAATAATTAAAAATACCTTCTTATCAAGTATTTAAAATACAAGATCCAGAAACACAGCTTTGTTGCATACCATCTCACACTGCTAAAATTCATCCCTAATTTCTGCTGACATGCCCTATGCCTATTTGAAGAATTAGATTTTGCATATGTATCCAAATTTGACCAGTAAGCTTTGACCATTTTATTTTTTTTTTAAGCATTGACCTTTAACTGCCAAGGACAGTGCATGCAAAACAAAAGCTAAAAAAATAAATAAATGTCTCTATGAATGTAATACTATCACATCCAGGTCAAACAATACATATTCTATGTATTAACAGACATCATTGACAGAGGTGATCGGTAGAGCACCCTTCAGGCCAGAGATGATTTTTCTCAAACTTACAGGCTTTGACATGACTCAAGTTCAAACCAGGCTATAATCTGCACAGTGGGTGGGAAATAATGAGCAGGAAGGAAATAAATTGGAGGGGGGGGAGGGAAAAAAAAAAAAAGGGCACCTTTGGTTACATTAAGCCAAAACTGCCTCGTAAAGGAAATAATAAACCATTTTGCTTGCAATACTTTCCCTTTGAGGGTCTCAGTTTGTTGAAGGACTGCATTATGAACTTGAGCCAGTTTAGGAGAACATAATGGGGGCCAAGGCTTATCAGTGAGCAGAGGCTGCTTTTAGTCAAATTTTGAGTTAAAAACAAACAAACAAACAAACCCCAAAAACCATTTCACATTGTTGAACATTGAACATTTCACATTGTTCACAGGAACTGGCACTAGGACTTTTTTGCAGTGACCATTCTGGGATATCTTTTGGAACTTACTCAGCATTTCTCAAACACCTTAACCGGCTGCAGAGTGTCTTTTGCCCCATTTAGGGGGACGAGGGCAGGGCTGTCCCATGTGAAGTGCTGGTGCCTGTCTGCCTCCGCTCCTTCCTCTGCACTCACAGGGGCCTTTGTGCTCACTGATGTCACCAGCAGGTTTTACAAACCTGACCTGAGCTGGCATTTCTTGGTTTGTCCCAGTTCAGTGCAAGCAGCCTCGATTCCCACCCACAACCAAGGTCCAGGCTGCTGGGTGCCCTGCACCCACTGCCCCACCAGGACAGGGCTTGTAGGTGGGAGTTGCACTGTGCAGACTGGATCGCAAAGAGAGTTGCAGCCCATCAGCCTACATGTGCAGCAGGAGGTGCTGGGCAGCACCTTGCCTGCATGAGGGAGGAGAGAGGAAAAAGAGTCTCTTTTTGGGAAAGCCAGAGTGGCTGAAAGTCCATTATAAATAGCATCCGTGTGCAGCTGGCTGAATGGCCTAGCTAACTTGGCACAAATCATATCAGAGCATTGACTCAGGGCACTACCTGGATATTGTTTTACTGTCTGCATTAAACTTTATCTGTGATCCTGAGTTAAGTAAGTGCTGTTCAACCCAGAATTATCAAAACAATTCTCTTTCCTAAGGAAGTTTGAGTTGAGTTTTGATGAAATGGCATTATGTAGTGGAAAGTTTTTTTTTTTTTTGATCAGTTCTCCTCTGTGAATACAAAACAAACACTGACACAGCAGCTGAAGTACAGACTTCTGCTGGTAGAGGAAGTCATGTGGGGGGGGAGGGGGAGTGGCAAAAAAAGCCTAGAAGAAGTAGATGATGTAACATATTTCTAGTGAGGGTTTGAGGCAAATGCCTCAAATTCAAATGATGTTTTAATGCAGCATCTTCCAAAATTACTTAGGAAAAGAGCCAAAAGTAAGTAAGTTAGGTAGTTAATTCTACTGACTGCACCCTCCCCTCCCCCAGCCTTCCACTCATAACCAGCAGAGACAGACATGAAAACACTTTTCCTCATCTTCTTTTCCCAGGACTGACGTCTCCCTCCTTCCAAAGGAACGCAATTGCTTGGGAACTGTTTCTCTGATACAAGAAATAACTGTTACTTCCACATTTAAGGATCATTTTAGGGAATTAGGTACATCCAAACAGCTTTTGAGGACTACAACTAGAGGAGTAAGTCATTGAAGGAGTCTGTGGCAGAGCAAGTACTTGACTGAAGGTCACATGACTAATTATATTAGTGTACCGAGTGCGGCCAGCCAACATCTTGCCTTCTCCGTTTGTAAAATACTGCAGAAGGCACTTAAAGCCCCTACTTCACCCCTTCTTTTAAAAGAAATAAATAACATATCAGACAATTTACAATTGTCCCTGCTAGAAAATTCAAGTAAACATTTCATTAGCTCAGCATCTTTATAACAGGGCAAATGTCCTGTGCAGCACATGCTGGGATTTAATCTTAACTCACTTTAGCCAATTAGAAGTTTGCCATTCAGTCCCCCTCAGTGGTGAGAGAGAGGTATGTGCACAGGGCAACTCCTCCCATCTAAAACTGGCATGTAAGGTAAGTGGTATGGTCACCTTCCGGAGCCATGACTGACTAAAGCAGAACTGCACTTTACTTGGACAAGGTATCCTTACTGCCGTCTGGAAAATGATGTGTGAGAGTTTCACTTCTGTGATTTAATCATAACACCCATTTTATCATTTCGAAACGATCTTCTTTCTCCACTTTTCTTACGACAGGAACAAACACAAACCTCAAGTGGAATTTCCCTTCAGATTTTTTGTTTTGTTTTTTTTCTTGGTAACAAGCAACAAGACGGTTTGCCGAGTATGAAATCACACAGCAAAATAATCCATGTCCCGAGAAATACGATGAATGTTTACTGCCCCACTGGGGTGCCAGGGAACGTGCCCAGTATAATGCAAAGGAAGAATTTTTCATTCTGTCTAGAGCAATGAATGTTATCTCCAATGCACGTTCTTGACGGTTTAAGTATTTACACTCCAAATAAATACCTAGTGAGATACACCTTCCTACCAATCAGAAAACTTCTCACCCTAAAAAATTTACATTACTTGATCATGTATTCAGAAAAACAAGCTTATATCGTCACTGGATCATAAACTAGGCACAAAGAAGTCTACTGTAGCACATCATTAACTTAGTCTAGTGACACAAGGGTACTATGAAAGTTTTAGCAGCCAACAGGTCACTGTCTCATAAATACAGATGCAGGTGGGTTAAAAAAACAAAAAACAAAAAAAAAATCCAAAACAGGCAGGCAAGTAAAAGATAAATTAGTTTGCTTGATTTAAAGTGGGAAATGCTAGTTACTGTATTAAATTTTTGTTGTTAAATTCTGAATGTTCGCAAACGGATTCTCACCACATATCTATGCTATAGCCATCTTTACAAAACCTTTTTACTAGCGGACTTCCACATTTCCTATGACAATGTGCACTGACCCTTTGCTTTCAAACCTTCGTACATTCAGACCATGGATGAGGTCTGCAAAGGAGTATTTCCAGAATGGAAGAGGACATGCTCTTCAGCTCAGTAGCAGTCAGGCCTCAGTTGCGAAACGCTCCTACTCTGCTTGCTTTGCTAATGAAGTTTTTCAGGAGGTCATGGTCCATTTCTGCAAAGCCTTGAGTTTGTGTAACAACAGTTAAGTGGTTTATGCAAAATCTGAAGCAAAATTCTTCCAAGTCCTAGGAACAAATTGAGGTCATTGGTTAAATTGGCAGTACTGTGTTTCAGTATACACTGAGTCATTATATATTGGCTCTGCACTTCTTCCCAACAACCTCCATTTTACTATTTGCAGCAATGCCAACAGCAACACCACAGCACAAGGCAAACCACTTTCCAACAAAGCCCTTGCAGTTTTTGAGGATCTTTGGCTCACCTTTCTTCCCAGAGTCAAATTTGAGGCCAGCTCTATACAAATCCCTCTCGTCTATCAAAAAATGGAATCTTCTGTGGTCAAATCTAATACTGTAATGTAACTAATTCCATACTGAATCAAGATGTGACAGGAAGTGGAGGAGGAATAAAAAATACCTAACTAGGGCAAAAGATAATTGGAAGGAAAAGGAGAATCTGCTATTCCTCCAGAAAGCAACAGATAGAGACAGATAAAGAAATACTTGCAAAATATGGATTCTGCAGGTACGCAGGCTGCTTTTATTCCACAGGTAGTCAGGAGAAGGGCATTTCTTGAATATTTAAAAAGCCTTGTAGCTGCAGACTTGCTGAATTAACCGTAATATGAATGACAGAAAGCAAAACCATTATCATTATTTTCCCGTTTCAAATCTGTCATTTAATTAGCAGACAATAGAACATGCTGCTCGGTTACTAATCCCTTTGCTGAACAGTTTGATTAGATCACAAATGATAGTTTGTATCAAGAAATTTCATCCTGTTTTATAAATCTCCTAAAAGGAAACAGGAGCAGCAACCTAAAATGGCTCTAGAACTTCTTCATATACACTGAGCTCATTAGAAAAGTTATTAATTAGTGAAACCATCAATTTTCCCCACATATGTCTACTATATCAGAGACTCCTTCCTTTTCTCCCCTGCACTGAATTCAGCGGTGGTCCTATGAACACGAACAGATACCCTTCTTTCCCCAGTCTTGCTGAAAACAAATGCAAAAAAGATATAACGCAGTGAAAGCATTGGGTTGGCCATTAAAGATGCATATATCCTAATATCCAATTGTGTTCAGTGAGACTAGCAGCAGAGATCTAGAAATTGGGATTCCTAGATAGTAAAAATGGTTTTGTCTTGTCCTAGTCTTGCTGACTCTGGTGCTAAAGCAAAAGGATGTTCAGATATTCAGCATAAGACAGGTGCAGGCCGTCAGGCCATACAACAGTGGTTTCACGCAGTTTTGCCCACTTAAACTTCTCACAACACTGTCAATCCTTCTCTCTGTGTACTAGGTCAGTGCCCTCTGCAGTTGGCTCCTATGTAACAACTTGTACTGAAGAAAAATGAATCGTCTTCTGCAACAAGCGGGGCGAGGGCCAACAGCAAGGCAAGCTTCATTTGGCCATAATAAGCCTGATCTATAAACTCTTTAAAGGTTACAGCAAAAAGAGGCCTCTTAATCCATGTCAGTTTTATTCTGTGTGACCTACATAAACACTGCAGCTGGGGCTGAACAGTAGGAAGAAATTTAGCAGAATACCCACGCATTTCCCTTTGAAGCAATTTCTTTAGAATGAACGTTTGGAGTCTATTGCCCCTGCCAAGACATAACTAAAGCTCTAACAGAAGCCAAGAAGCATAAAAATATCCTTTAAAAAGAAATAAAGCAGTAAAAAGGCACAGAAGTAAATTGCATCTCTCATTAGAAAGTGTTGGAAAAGCAAGAAAAGGAATGAAAATTGAAGAATAAAAAATGGAGGATTAGAACAGCAAAGGCACTGACAGTGTAGAATTCAATACACCTCTGCAATGCCACTGCCAGAATCTGGGTAATTATATATTGCATTAGTCAATGCTAACTTTTATACTTTAAAAAAAAAAAAAAAAAAAGAAAAAAAGAAGCAGCTGCCTTTTCTGGTACTGATCTGTGAAAAGGAGTACAGATATCAAAGAATCCTGGTCACTAATTTTGCAGTTTCAAGAAACAGTGGCTTTTAATTCTGTTATATAGAAGATAATTAATCTAAAATTTTCCCCAGTGTACATCAGAAATACTCTTAAAAAAATAAACTGTAGCAGCAGATCTTTCTATTTGCTGAAGTTAGGATAAACTATCATGAAGCATTTTTAATACTAAGATGTGTGTAAATAGTCAAGTCAGTTTTCAGTTAACTTTCTATGTTAATGGCAGATTAACACAGCACTGTAATCTTTCACTAACAGCGCTCGCTATTTAATGACAAAAAAAAAATTGAATTAATTGCATCTTTCCAAGCTTCCAAAATATCAGGCTTCTTTTATAATCCAATGATTTCTAGAGACATACTATGCTCCGCATTTCTATCCTAAGGAGTTTTGGACTCAGTTTTCTGCTAAAGTGCTGATATGCTGCAGATGGTTCTCAGAACAATTTTTACTATATTAGCATAGTATAGTGTAAGATCACTGTCTTACTCGGTGATTCCTTTGACAGAGGCTATTCCATGTCTTTACTATTTCTAGAAGCCCTTCCTGCACTTCTCTGAAGCAGTTCTATTATATGCCTCTGAGTTGCGGGTGTGAGGAGGAAGGCAACAATCTGCTCGTGAGTTTGACATGCATTGCACTGGGGGCAGGTGAACCTGCCATCTTTTTATGATTATGCTAAAATATTACATACATTTTGAATGAATACTGTGTATGCAAATTAAAACACTGAATCACAGAAGGAAGAGTGGGGTAACATATATTTGCTTATCTAGCCAACCCCTTTTATTGTGTTTCTGTCACTATAATCCACTAGTACTTTGTTCACACTAGTTTTACAATTTCACAATACAACTAAATGGATCTGTAGTAACTCCATCTGACATAGGTCAACCAAGGGTCTTTCTGTTCTTGAAATGTTCAAAACTGCTGAAAAGTTTATAAAAGGAGAAACTCCAATGTAAGCTTTTAATGAAAACTTCTACTGTCAAGAAACGCAGATCATTTGATCCGCCTTCCTTGTCCCATCTTCCCCGATAGGCTGGACTTCTACCTCCACAACACACTGGAAATGCAATTCCTATTTTTTGCTCCCCAATTGTTCATGCCATTCATTACTAATTATCAGTCCTGATAGCTTGGTTACAACTCTCTGTCTTTACTGCTCCACTTCCAGCTAATAAACTCTTCATTTATTAATCGGATGTCATCCCCTCTTCTCACTGATCATACTCATTGTATACTTCTGGTTTCCTCTTTGCAATCCCTACACAAATTCATCTCATTTAGTATCCTGCTACCATACAGCACAGATGACTTCTACATTTCGTAACTCTACTTTTATTCCTGTCCCTTCCTTCTTACTGCTTCCTGTGCCTGGAACAGTCTATCAATCTATCTCATTATGTTCCCAGACTCTCCTGCTTTAAAACTTTGTCCTACATCTCACAGCCAGGCAAAAGCAATACAAAACAAATATTTTTAAAAAAAACTCTTTTAGCTCTTCTAATATGGCATCTTCTCTTTTTGGCAATGTTAATTTTATTCTCATACAGCAAAAGGAATCCAGAACACAAGATCAGGACTTCTCCTTAGCTCCTTAGCTGCTCAGTTATAACAATGGCTGCTAAGTCTAAAATATATATGTGGATTTCTCAAGCAACAGAAATGACTGCATCATTATTTCCGCAAACAGCGGAAACTAAGCGGAACTAAGAAGTTGAGAAAAGGAAAACATCTTTCAAGGTATTTGCCTGTTTACAAATAAAGTGCTTGCAGTACTGCTGGTAACAGGTTGAGTGCTATTCAGACATTCCAGATATTCCCTATGGCTAGGAGCTCTTGAGCCAAGCAACGGCAGCCCAGATGACAGGATATGGACGGAGGAGTAACAATAGGTAATTTGTTGCATGTTAGCATGATTCATTGTGAACAACATGGCGCAAATGGCTTTTTGATATGAGCACAAATGTGAACAGGGAAAGACTTTACAGGTAAATTCACCACTGCCTGTAAAAGGCAGTACTACGATGACTGTACAAGACACTGACAGACGACCTGAGAAGGTGGAGAACTTTTTCAGGAAGTCAAGAGGCACTGCAAGATCCAAAGGTGGGGAAGTGAAAGGTGATGAGGAATTCCCATACCAGGTTGGGCTAGATGACAAGGCAGGAAGCAAATTAAAAATCTTGACTCACAGACGCAAGACAACAGGCCAGAGAGATAACATTAACAGCTTCATTTTTTATAGCCTTAAAAGGGGGGAAAGTACATGTCTGGAAGCCAGAAAGGGCAATTAAGAGTATTCATGTCTCACAAGTTAAATGCAGTGAATAATTATATTAAACAGCATTTCTCAGAAAACACTTGTTTGCCTAAACAGAAAAATCTCCATACCTGAGCTTCATATTTTACAGCAGCTGAAAGAAGAGCAATCGCATTCTCTTCACAAATGCCTTGCTTGATTGTTTGCTGGCAAAGCTTTTTCAGTCTGTTCTCTCTATACAGTGTTGCCAAATCTAGCAGCCCTGTGAAAATGCAAATGTATTTAACTATCCTTGTGCAAAACACATACATTTCTATTCATATTGATCAAGTCTATTATTTTAGGCTGAATTCATTGAAAGCTTGATCAATTTTTTTTTTTTTCCAGATGAAGTGCTTACTTTTAAAAGTTCTCAAAAAAGGTTTCTATCAAAAAGAGGCACTTTTATTAATATAATCTTCTTGTTCACTATAGTGAATCTTATTCAAGTTATCAGTTAGTGACCTAAGTCCTCCTAATTCGTGTGGGGAACCGCTTCGTTTTCATTCATGATCAAATTGTCGCAGTTACTCAAACAGAAAAGTCTTAGGATGCCATTAGTGACTTTTTAAGGCAAAATAAATTGGGGTCCTTCCTGAACGTTAACTTTTGATCTTATTTCACCCCCCACCACTCATGTTTCCTGCTATTGCATCTCTTCTTCCTAACACCCGGAATATATAGCAGTAACTCAGATTTACGTGCTAATAAAAATAAAACTAAATATGATCAACCTCTGCTTTTTCCTCATCCTGTTATGACACACAACTGTACCTTCAGAAACAGTAACCTAGAGTTATTGCATTTATGGCAATTACCTATTGCATCTTCAGGAGGGAGTCTAATGTTGTCTGTGTACAGGTATTCCAGGAAGGCTCGGTAAACAGGATAAGAAAATTCATTCATTTCTATAATTTCATCATCGCTATTCAGTATGGAACGAAAATGTTCACACCTATAAAACAAGAACAAGGGCTGCATACTGTAAAGAGTTAAACTTGACAAATGAGCCACAGCAAGATGCTGATTTAAAAGAGGAAAAAAAAAAAGTCATAACAGACAAAAAACATAACCAAAAAATCTAGTCAGATGAGTTCTTGGTTTTGTACATGTTAAATTTTTTAGAGCTTTCTATATAAGCTTCACACGTCAGAATTTTCTTTTATTTCTGTTACCACTCATTTACAACAGGTTCTGTATTCTGCTTGTAATATCTTTAAGGATGGTCCACACATTTTTTGATATCATATGAGTTATATATTAACTATTAAATCTATTTTATTACCTGCCTCATAAAAGATAAAGTTTACAATTAAGTTAGACAATTCTCACTCTTCAGCCTCTTTCTCCAACATGACCTAGTAAGGAGGGAAACAATCAATAATATTTTAGATAAAAATGTCACAGTCAGTGTCAGAGTCTGTGTATGTGGACTTAATGCTATGCAGCATTTAATGCTACGCACATCTTAGCATTAAATTTAATCTTTATTCTCGGGTATGAAAATACTTAAAAATTAAGAGAGACTCCCACCCAGATCATTCATCATCTTTTTCTTACAAGTCTGAATATTTTCAGGACAGACAAGCTACAAACAAGCAAAAAGCTTTGCCTTTGATAGTTGTACTTTATAACTTCAAGCTCATAGTAACTTTAAGTTATTCCTCCCTCAAAAAATATTCCGTAACTTTGAATTTGATACTTTTTGAAGTTTTTGCAGATGGGAGTGAACATCACCACCTCACATAATGACTTCCTAGAACAGCCAAAATTTAATTTAATACTTTCATATTCTATTACTTTCTCTATAACTGTCCCACACCTGAATTTGCTTTTCTTTTACTGAAAATATTTTATAGCAGGTTGCTTGTTCTCCTTTTAATGTCTCTGGGATGAGTCTGTATCATAAAGATAGCATAACTTAGATACAAATGAAAAGTAATTATTTATTTTACCACTTACTTCATCTTTTCTGCATTCAATTTTGTTATTTATAGAATTTTTCCTTGATATTTTATTTTTTCCTAATGAAGTACACAAAAATCAAGTCAAATTCATAAAGAAGTAAAAAGTCATAATGTAGCTTCTGCCACATTCCTGTATTGCATTCTGGAATCAGAAGGGGCAGACAGAACTGCTTTGTTTCCCCAGGCCCTGTATTGATGGTGGCAACCACAGCTACCACCCAGCTGTGGAACAGAACTTGGATATGGCCAATTGACCCCTCAGCTCCTTTTTACTCATGAAAGTAAAAAAATACATAAGGAGGGTGGTGTACATTGCTCCTTTTTATAAGGAGTATCATCCTTCAATCTCCAAAGCACCTTGGAGTGACTCATCCTTTGGAGGGCCTTTCTCTCCCTCAATAAAGGGAGATCGAATGCCTAATTTTGGCTGGCTAAAGGCAGAGCAGATGAATCCCACCCACACACCCATACGCATCTCGGGCGGTATGCTGCTAGCCAGACTCTTGAGTTGGGGGCTGCCCTCCCATTTCAGCACCATTACAAACTAATAATCACAGACAATATTATCTAGTTCAACAATATCTATAGCACAAGATGGCAAAAAAGTCTTCTCAAGTGGTTAAAAAGACTGGACAATAAAAAAGGAACTTTTACCAGCATGGGACTCATGACAATGCTCTGGGAAGGGATGAATCCTGCAAAATACCATGTTAAATACATTATCCTCTCAACCAGTTGCATTACGAGACTGTAAGGCTTAAAGAAGGCATTAACTCTACAGACTATGCCTCATGCTCTATTACTCCTGAAAATTTCTTTGATATTGCCATACATTTAAAGAATTGGACACATTTTGTTCCCAGAATGCCATACAATCTAAGAAAAGTGAAACAATAATAAAGAATTAAGGTTAAGTTACATGTCATCTAATTATCAAGAAAAACCACCTCAAACACTTTGGGGAGACAGAAGATTTGAAGTGGTATTTGACGAAAGGCACTTGGCAGACAGGCAATAAGGCAGTCCGAGCAAGAATGACAGACTATAAGCAGTACGTGGGACATACAAGAGATGAAAACAGTAAAGGGAAGAAAATACAGGCAATTGAAGCAGTAACAGGAGAGCAGAAAAGGAAAAAAAAAAAAAAAGCAAGAATTAACACATAACTTTAATGTTATGCAGTAAAATACAAGAAGTCACTAAAGGGATTCAGGATCAAAAGCAGGACCTCTTCAGAATAAGAGGTAGCCAAACATTTTGACAAAGAAAATAGTGAAAAGAAAAAGTTATTGTAATAAAGATGATAGAGCAGAAACAATTCACAAGACAGAAGAGATCTGAAGCAGTGTTTCTAGTATATCCTTTTAGAAACTGTGCCAGCAATAACAAACTGATCTCTGCATGTTAATAACAAAGTGATTACTCAGTAGATCTGCATATGTCAAATCTCACTGCGAAGTGGTGTTAACTTGCAAAAAGCTGTAAAAACAAAAAGAGAAGCCATCTTAAATTCAAATTAACTGATAAGGAGGTTTAAAACAAAAAGGACAGATCTGACAGAAAAGAAACATAAATAATTTGAAGAGCATCTACAGAAATTGCTTAAACAAGTGAAGGGCCCTGTGGTAGTAAAGAAAGGCAGGCAAGAATACATAGAAAAACAATAGAACTGAGGATACCAGTAGAGGAAGCCAAGAAAAGAAAAGAGGAGAAACTGCTTAACTAGTGGGAAGGCAGCAGAAAGAAGATATGTAACTGAGCCTTTTCCTCATCAGGAAAAGGTCATTAGTAATTGGGACAGTTTAGGTAGTATGAAGGAAGAGAGACATCAGATGGAGGAAAATGTGAAAGAGGCTGGTAGTAAGCAGCATGTTTGGCAATTCTGAGCAGTGAGGAAATCAGGAAAATGGTTAACAGTTAAGAAAGCAAATTAATCTCATAACTTGGAGAAAAGGGAGTTTGTAAGCTGAACTCCAGATTTTTAGGCAGTAATTACTCAGCACAGTGGACTAAACTATATAGTTTATGCCTTACCTAATTTTGAGAAGAACTTTATGAACATGAATGTACTTTCCATCCACTAGAAACTTCAGGTCTGCAGTTTCAGGGTTGTCAAATTCCTTCTTCAGTGACTGGGCTACTGTTAGATGGTCATCAGGCTCTAGTACAAAAAGAGGAATGGTGACTAATAAATAAGTATAGGTATCACTTACAATAACTTCCTGGGTTTATATCAGCAATTAACACTCTTAATAAATACAGCTTCCCTTTAAGGTCAGTAACAAAAAAACTGTGCTCAGTATGAACCTCTAGAAAAGCAAATAAAGCACAGCTTTCTTCAGTCTTGCTAGTTTCCTACTCCAAATATCCCTATTAAAAATAAGTCTCACTCCTCTAACTCCTCTGGATGAGGCCAGAAAAAAAAAAAAAAGTCAGTCTCAGAAGTTTAATGCTGCATCTTGTAGCAAATACCATTAATTGTTACTGGCTAAATCATTATTTAAAAAATGTTGCTTGTTATAAAACACATAAAAGCTCAATAAAAATCACAGTAAGATTTGCTAAAAGACTCCCATGAGGAAACAATCTTACAGCCAAAATAAAGTGATTACATAATCAATACATGTAAAATTGTTCAGTACATTACCCTCAAAGGTAAATTCTAACAGTAACAGGTATGTTTGGCAGTGTTCTCCCCAGGGTTATGGTGTTAACAGCATTCTTTGTGTGAATGTCTTTCCTGTTTGTATCACGTATACGTACATGCCACAGTGGACATGACACCTGCATGATAAAGTTACCGCTCAGCCTTGACAAGTCACCCATTGTCTGCATTCAAATTTTATCTCCTGAATTGTTTCCAATTCTTCATCTTACTGGGTAGCCTCAAAGAACTATTTTCTTTAATATTAATAAAAAAAATTAAAACCCTTAAACCTCATTTGTAATCCAGATAATATTTTTTCCCCTTACCATATGAATACCTATTATTGGTTTATTCAACTTTTGTGGGTCAGGAATAAGCCATTCTCTACGAAAATTACACCAATGATAGGTCCTGACATTTTGCAGGCTACCAAGCTAGAAGGAAGAATACTATCCTCTTAGAAACGGAAAGATCCCTATCACAAGCTAAAGAAAAGCTTTAAACATGTCATTTGATACTACCATGCTTTGTTTAGCACAGTTTTTTCAAATACATTTAGAGAATGTTATTTACATCCAATTATACCCAGTTAGGGAAATAATTATGGAAATGTTTTGGATTTCAGGTGAAAGGATGAGGACAACAAATCCTAATGAAAATATATTAACAAAAAAATCCTTCTGAAACAGTGGTATGGCAAAATACTTCGTTAGTTCTTATTCCATATGACATAGTTTGTTTATTCAGACCTCTGCTGAGTTAAGTACAGTAATTTTAACAACCAATGGAAAATTTATGCTCTACTGCAAGACTGCAATAGGCCAAAGGATTCTGCACTGTTTTGTTGTGAAACTTATCTTCAATGTCAACTGACAATTCAGATATACGTCATTAGGGCATTACCAGATGACTTCTACTATCAGAAGTCTGCTGAATAAAGTGGGGTTAAGTTATGAAAGTCTCAGAGGGAAAACAGGTGCATTTACTTGTTATAGCAGTCAAGGGGGAGCCAGTGGAAGGAAACGAAGAGGCAGTTAACATGGGTAATGCAAGAAGCCAAGAAAACTCTTCAGCATTCAGTGTTGAGAATTTTTATAGAAATGTTAAAACTGCCATGAATAGGGAATGGATGGGAATGTCTGAGTGTGGAAGCACCCGAAAATAAAAGAAGGGCTGTAAGCAGGTGTCTGTCGCCCTTAGATCAGCAGGTATTAAGATCCTAGGCATGAAGCTGCACACTTATATCAGGAGACAAACGACAGTGAGTAAATCCTGATGACTCACCAAGGTGGGAAAGGATGGAGAGACTCTCAGCTCCTAAAGTGTACAAAAAAGGCACATCCAAAACCAGCACATATTCACCGAACTAAAAGGAATCCCGAAGACATGACGAGGACTTGAGAGCCAGCATCCTTTATCCTCTGTATCATCACAAGGACTCCAGCTCAGACTATTCGGACCACTTGCTGCATATGAGTACATGGGTTTGAGAATGTGTGCGAAACTGGCTTTGTTTAAAAATAAAACGATCTTTCCCTCCTGTAAGGTTGTTCACCTTAAGCTTTGCTACATTGTTGTTACATGTAACGGTTACTGTAACGGTCCATGGTGACAACCAAGGGGGAGATAAAAGATGTGCTGGAAAACAGTTACGAACTTAGTCTTGATAAGGCTGTGTTAAAGAGAGAGCATGGATGCCTGCATATAGCAATACACTCATTAATAACCTGGATACTCGCAAGTCTTCAGCATAACGATCATAATTACATTCACGATCATAGACAATCCCACTCAAGACACTTTTATCAAACCTATCACCCTCATCTCCCTGTATGGTTAATGGGAAGAAATTAATGCTTTTAGGGTATGATCCATCTCACCTAAACTAGAAGTCTAAAACGAGTCAGATGAATCACAACAAAGAACTGGCTATTGCTCTCTGCTGACTACAAAAGAAAATGCAAAGTGATTAATCCAGAGCAACACATTCACAGTGTCAGCCCCTGAAGCTGTGTCAGCCAAATCTAACCCTATAAACGCAGAGGATGTAGTAGATAAAGAAGTAAATATAAAACCTGAAGACTTATAGAAAGCAAGATACGCTGTTCTCCTACTCTGTCAGACAAGACACCCACAGTGCAAAAAGGTAGAGAAACTTAGAACTACAAGTTTTAATGCGGCATTACAGTGGGAGCATATGCCCCATTTATATTATCCTTACGATCTGTGCAGGGAGTAGGGATTGTCCCCTTGGCCAACAGACCTAGACTGCTCACGTTCACCCTGTTCCTGTAGCACCCCTTTTAGAGAGGTGAGCCACATCCTCGCTGCACAGCACCCAGTGTAGTCCCTAGTCTCACACCGACTCTTGTCATCCATTGCAGTCTCCCATGCAGAGGACGACTCTGCTGACTGCTACATGCAACATCTGCTCCATGAATATCACACAGTCACAGTAGTTCTCAGTATAGACCTTAGTGTAGGACACTTTTAGGTGCTTTTCAAATTTCAAGTAGCACTACAGATTGAACTGTACATACAAATCTGCCCAGCTGTATCCCTGCGGTTATCCAGGAAAACTTTTGCAGTTATAAAGCCTTTTCATAAGATAAGGCCCAGGTCTTCTCTGGTCCTACATGGCTCCTCTTAGGGTCACACACATTTTACAGTTTCATAAGGGTTTATAAGATTTATTTTTCCTTTGTAAGGCCCATAAGATAACAGAACAGTCTTGCAACCTGACCTATTTTGCTTATTTATTTATTTATTTTAATCAAAAGTGGAGCAGAACAATCAAGGAATAGTTTTAGGGGAAAGGAGCAGACCAAGCAAGGGTGTTTTGGCAATAACGGGGGGAAAGGCTTTTCTTTTTTAGGGAAAAAAAGTAAAATAGTGTTTTAAGATATCTACAATAATTAAGCATATAAATTGTGTTTCTGAACAAGACACTCTAGAAAACACTACTGACTTCCGAACTCAGTGCTATAATCCTTCCTAGACATTATTTTGATCAAATGGGGGACTTTGCCCTAAATCATGCATTTTGACAAAACAAACTCCTAAGGGCAGGACTCTCCATTTAGTCCTCTAGTCTCTAAAAACTGAAATACGAGCACTATTAACAAAAGTGCCTTACCTCAGCATTTGGAAGGCATTAGGGAGCAAAGAGTGTTCTACAAAGTTGTCAGAGCAAAGCATATAGCAACAAAAAAGCAATTACAAAGACAGTAACAGAAGCAGAATAGAACTGTGATGCACTCAATACAGTTCAAATTACAAATAAACAAGTTGCTGCATTCAAGCTTCTAGCTTAAGCTCCCAGGTGACATCTACAGACAAACGCAGGAGTCTCATCTTTGATTAGGCCAAAGAAGCTAATAACTTTATTAGCCACAAAAATGGAATAGAATTTGTAGCTGAAGAATTAACTCTCTGTTAGGGATGTTATAAACGCCCTGTTCTAGTGATGATGCTTAACTTATTCTAGTCAAAGCCAGGAAGACAGATCTTAACGTTGATCAAGCATTTGAGATCCAGTAACCAGTCTCCTCAGAAGCCCAGGTCATGATCACTCGTGATGAGACTCTGACTTCTAAATATTCACGGTCGCTTCTGAACATGGGAATTTGGCTCCCTCATTCTTACTAGTCTACTTGAGGATATCTCAGAAAGGTTATCAAATGGTTCCTCATGTTTCCCTCATGTCTCCAAATTCCAATTCAGTTTCTTCACCCATCGTGGCCATTGTACAATAACACTCAGCAGCTACAGAGAGGATTGTGTGAACTAGCTATTTAGACCATCATTCCCACACAAAAGAAGGCACTTCCCCATAGAAATACATCCCTTCAATATAAAGCAGACAGTCATTTAGCACTGCCATCAGGCCTTAGCAAATTTTACAATTCTGTATTAACATTACTATTTACACATATTTAAAATTGTGCTTCCCAGTATAAATTTTTACAATAAACTAAGTTTTTCCTTGAAATACAAGCACAGCTAAAAGTGCTACAATCAAAAATATTGAAGCTCACCTATGGATAGAAGACGCCACATAACGGCAGGGGTAGCAAAGCAAGCAAATACATCATCAGTGCAGACAAAGTGCGTGAGGTGAGGAAGGAACACAGACTGACCACGGCACTGGCCCCACATGTACACCTGGCCACTCTGGGTCTTGGCAGCCGAAGTGTGAGCGGAGTGGCAGGCTGCAATCTCTATGACTCTGAATTCACAAGCAAACAAATAACAAAAGCAAATCACTGTCATAAGAACAAAATACAATGAAGAATCTCACTGCCTCCTCTCTTTCTCTCATAGAAAACATGCTTGCAAGCATGCAAACACTTCAGATTGCAGCAATGTTTTCCTACCATAAGCGGCAAAATTAAAACAGCTATCAATGTTTCTCCACATAGCGTGCACTCAGAAAGTATACTGGTGAAAAAGCATCTTGGGAGTGAGGAGACACTGCTGCAGTAGAGCATTACACCTGCTGTGGCACATCAAGTAGAACGGGCTGGGTAAGTAATTTTGCATTTCGGCTTACAATAGAAAATTAACGAAAAGCTTTTTTTCCCCCCCCCTATTTATTTATTGGTAATGGTTATAAACCAACAATTTAAACAACCAACAATATAAACCAACAATTTCCTTAAATTAAAATACTGACGTGTCGTTACCCATACCATTATTATTACTTGTACTTAATGGACTTGACCTTTTTAGAACATTTTCAAAACGAAAAATTAGAACTAAATAGAGCACTAAATGTTATTTCTAAATATATTTTAGCTCACTAAAGCCAGCTCACTAATCCTAAAGCTGATTTAGGATTTCCAAATTCCCACTGTGTACAACATTACGCAATCCACGGTTTTGCATTCTGAAGTACTACTTGTTTACTTGTTTTCTTAGCTGCCTGGGGAAAACAGCAGGGAAACTTTTTTAAAGCTGCATATGCCAATATTGCAGGCTTTAGTGAGGCAATATTTTCACTGAAATGCATATTCGGGCCAACAAAAGGGAAAGGCAAAATAAAATAGTACAATTTGTATTAAAATGTGCTCACGTTTCAACTGCAGCCAAAGTGTCTGGAAAAAATTCAGTTACATCTTAAGTAAAAGTACAAACGCACACAAAGAAATAGCAACATTCAAAAACAGGCCATGTCTCATCACCAGAGAGGAGATGCCTTTTCCTTAAAATAAGGCATACAGACACAAATGTAACAGGATATCACACTTTTCTAGTTATTCACAATAGGACATCAAAATTGAGACCTCAATAGTAAGGAACATATTTAAATTTCTGGCCACATAAATATGCAGCTTTGCATTAGCAGCAGAAATAACTGTGCCACTACCTATCAAGAGAATATTTAACTTGTAAAAATCTAAGCTTCAATTTCAGACAGCAATACCAAGACAGAACACCTCATCTTCTCTCCCCCTCACTTTATGAGCAGGATCAATAGCAGAACTATCACAAATTGCCAGTGACCACTCTTCACTTTTTCTGTGTATACTCCTTGTCAAAACCATCATATTTAAATATAGTTTGTATTAGAGACAATAAAGCTTTTATTGCTGACTTCAAACAATGAAACTATACTACCAAAGAGAAACTGCAATTAAGACTTGTAACATACAGTGCGAGCTGAAGCAGGAAACAGCATTCAGAACATTCAGTTTCTCTTTCACAAAGGTGGTTATGGGGCAGATTCAAGCACTTTCAGGGAAAGTCAAACCTTAATTCACTGATTTTATATGTCAGACAAATTTATAATCTGTTCACATTTAATTCTGTGAAAGAACTATTGTAAAAAATTACAGGCTATTTCTTCCAAAACCAGACTAACAGAGCCATAATTTTCTGTAGCGCTTCTGAGAGTACACTGACCAACATCTGACCGCTAGAACATAGGTATTACCTGTCCTTATCCACAATTACTGTTGTGGGGTAAGACTGGTTACTTTTATTCCCAGTTCCTAACTGGCCATATGAATTGGCTCCCCAGGCATATATCTGACCTTCATCTGTTAGCACTAACGTATGCGCATAGCCACAGGCAACCTATAATGAATAATAAAAAGAAAAATCTTATTTTTATGTAACATTAAGTTAATATAGACAGATATACATGAGGTTGTACATTAATATTATTGGTTCTACAGCAGTGCAAAAGCATCTGATAAAAATTACAAAATTAACAAATACAAATAACTTCACTAAAAAGGGAAGCAAAGAAGATGAGCAACTTTCAGGAAAAAACGTATCACTGGGGAAACCTATCAGATAATTTCAAGAGGATGGCAAAAAAATAGCTAGAAATTGAGAAAGAAGGAAATCTGTATGACAGATAGGAGCAGTATGTTGAAAAATGAGGAAAAGGGAGAGTAAGTCTTATGTTAAGCCGGCTCTAAGGGCAACTGCTCCAACATACACAGCTTATAGCTGTAAAAATAGGCAAAGTCTCCCTGACTGCTCCTCTCCTCCTTTACCACCAGCTACACCAAAGTGCCCCTTCCCTTGTGCCAGAGCTCACCAGACCCCTGCTGAGACAATTTACATCACTGGAAGGAACCTCTGGACAGCTGGGCCTGAGGACCACCAGCACCAGCACAACATTGTCAGCAACAGCAGCAGCCAGCCAGGGAAGAAAGAGACAGAACTCTCCATCTTGATGACAGCTCATCCCCTCTTGTGGAACCACACTCTGCCCTGCTGAGCTACACCTCCTCAGGTACCCCGGGTAAGGTGGCCCAAATCGTCACTTTACATAATCTATATATGCTGCAGAGCGCCCCTCATGGAGGTGCACAAAGTAGCAAAATGATCAGCAGCAGTCTTGCTCAGCATGAGTTAACGTGACCTACTAGAGCTAAATGGCTATCAACAGCCAATTTAGCTTGTTCAAAACTAGCTCATGTATCTCTATATAATCTGCAAAGCAGGCCCTAAGTACATGTATAGCTCCACTGATTTCCATGAAGCATGTGATGGGCTTTAATTGAAACATGTGTCTAAGTGATTTGCTAACTGGCGGTCTACAGCTTGCTTGATAGCCGTTAACATCAAACGAACTGGATGGAAACAGGATCTAAGTCATGCTTATTGGAGCACTTCTATTCTCTAAACAGCAAAATAAGAACAGGTTAAAATGATATTCACTTTATTATGTTAATCTCCAACATCCATTGTTCCCAGCAAAGCCACTGCCCGTATCCTGGAAACACAATATAAAACCACCTAGTTTATTTCAAAAGATTAAAAAAAAAAATTCTTTGCTTACCTGAGTAAATGTATTAATTAGGATTCAAAGTTCAAAACACTTATAAATCTTCACTAGATTACAAAAACAATGATTTCTAGCAGAATGTGTCATTTTCCTAACTGTATCCTCTATTCTGGATAAACCAGTCTAAAACTTTTAGTATCAATTTTACAATTCATTCTGGCTCCAAACACCAGTTAGTCACTGTGGTTGGAGTATGCAGTTCTAGAAATGATACTCAGTTCTGCCAGAAGGCCAAAATGCTAAACTACAACATTTTCCCAGAAAAAGACAGGGGTTAATGAAGAGTAGGATAGTCAAAGACTGCTTTCTTTTTATTACATCAATAGGAATAAAAATATTTATTAAATTTCAGAGAAGAAAAAAAAAAAAAAGGACCAAGCCTTTCCAATTCCTTAGTCATGTTTAGGTAAAATACTGACCTCACTGAAGCCAGCAGCAAAACTCCCACTGAATTTTACCAGGTCACAACTTCTCCCCTGCTAACAGAGGTTCATTTTAAGATAAGCATTTTTATTCCAACAAGTGGTGCTTTAAAATAAAAACAGATAAAGGACTACCTCCTTTAAATGGAAAACATGCCCTAGCTACACCCTGTACTTTTAGTTGTTCATAAAGGGTTTGACGTATAGATATCACACATACCCGCTGTACACGAATGCCTTGCAAAGCTGCTATTCTGCATGGTGTTGGCTGATTGCCACTGCTGCCTAGTCCAAGCTGGCCATTACCATTGTAACCCCAGACATAAACCTTAAAAACAAAGACAAGGATTTAACTATCTGCTATTATCAGTTTATTTAGAAATAAATATAAGTACTTCATAGTTGCAATAATAACTCTCTTTAGTGCCTCCTTGTTCCCTTTCCTTAGAAACTGCACTTCAAATGCAGATATATCGTATGTATTTGTGTGTGTGTGTGTAAATAAATATATATATATATATATATTTGTATTTTCTGCACTTAAATGACAAATTTCTGATGCAGCATCAGTTAATAACAAAAACTGTGTGCTCCACTAAAATTCTATTCCTTCATGTTCAGCTTCCTCTGTAAGAGTTAGATTATTTAAAACTGCAATTCTTTAATATGAAGAGTGGACAATAAATGGCTCACAGGTGCTGAATTTGCTCTGTGTCCTGGGGAACAGCCAAATACTTCCCTTTTTCAAAGGGCTAGTTTCTCATGCAAAAATCCTCTAACACAAAAGTAAACAGAAGAATAACTATATAGTGGAAACTATGTCAAGCAGTTTGAGTAGATTGTTAACAAAGTTATACTGTATATAAGAAAAAAGGGAAATATTGAACTCTAATAATTTCAGTGACACATCTTCTGTTCTAATGCAAACAGTCTAGGTATAAACTAAAATGCTTGGAGCAGTGGATCTGAAGAGGATCTAGTCTACTTAAAATCTTCAGCTCAGATGAACTAAAGCATAGGAACACTACCTCACTTTCATATCCTTATAATATTCCCAGCACCAGGAAGGTGGTTTCTCTCTTTACATTTGAGAAAATAAGGCTAACATGAAACGTCCAACGAATTTACTACTACTACAAACACAACTTCGCAAGTATTAGTGCTTCATCACTGGTCATCCACTGTACCTATTTAGTTTACTGGAAGCACAAATGCAACCATGGCTAGAAATGTTGCACAAGCCAAGTTAGGAAATTCGACTTCCAAATATCTTGTACTTGAAGTAGGACTGATAGTTAAGTAAAATAAATAAATAAATAAATTACATAAGATAGTTTCTATATGATTTAATCCCAAAATTCGTAAAAGTCTCCTGAACTTCACAATGCTTTTTTTCCTCTCAAAGGAGAACTATATTTACAAGTAAATTTGGGGTATAATACTTGAATTTCTTCAGCTTAAAAGCCAACTTCAGTAGCTGATTTAAAGTAATAGCTGATAAATTTCATGTGCAACCTCATAAACCATTCTCAAAAAACAAATATTAGTGAACAGTTTTCCCTGTTTTGCTCAGACTTCTTTCTAAAGAAACTATAACAAATATGGAGAGGAAGATGTGCTTATATATGTAGGAATATTTAGGACAATTTACGACAAAGATTTTTACAAATAGTACAAGCAGGTAGATTTGAGGGAACCTGGAGATAATATTTCTTTTCTTCAGTGGTTTTTACTATTGTAGCACATTACTGGCAGGTACTAAAATAATGTACATCCTGCAATGTTATATAAAAGAAAACAAAATCGGAAAGATTCACTTAAGATTTCTTACCTCTCCATTTTCTACTACAGCCATAGAGCACATTTGTCCACAGGCTATATTAACGACTATTTTATTTTGTAGGCAGCCAGTAACTCTTCGAGGAATTGGTTGATTAACTGTTGAACCAGATCCAACCTGGCCCGAGTTATTATACCCCCACGTATATACCTGTTGCAAAAGAATCATCATAAAAAAGGCCATATAATACACTTCTAAGTAGTCCAAAGAGAGAAAGAAGTTATATACACAAAAAAATTATATGTTGAGTTTGTGTGGATCTTTCAAAGATGTGGGAAAACACATAGGTTTATGATTTAATTGTTTCTATCAGAAATATGACATTTATATATTCCACTCCGTTATGCTCTTCCAGTCAGAGGCAAAAGGACAGTTATATTAACACTTTTTCACTCCGGGAGTGTGCTTTAAAACATTTGTTGACAGAGGCACTGGAAGAATCCACATTTTTAGTTTTCCAGAACCCCAAGTAGAATGGCTGACTGGCCACAAATGGCACCTCAAAGTAAGTCACAGAAAAACTTTTCACTTCAGGGGGCTGAACTCCTTACGCGAGCACGGTTTTAGTTAACGGCAGATTTAATGCCGTTAAGAGACGACACTGGGTAACAATGTAGGAAGTGACTGGCTGGCCTCTACAAAGAAACAATACTCCCTTATTACAAGCAGATGCCACACAAAAATCGGTGTCCTGCACTTCCAAGCGGATAGACCCAAACAGATTTTCTAGTTTTACTCAACATTTGTGTTGCATCAGCATTGTGAGGATAGCAAGAAGCAGGGTGCACTTGGTGTTGCATGTTTTCCTGTTTCTCACATATTTGAATTTAATTAAGAGAAAAGAGAGATTTATGCTAGCTCTTCTCACCTCTCCATCAGACGTTAACACCATAGAATGATGAGAGCCACAGGCAACTTCAATGACTTTCTTGTTCACCAAGTTAGTAGAGACTTGACAGGGAACGAAACCATGATTTGTTGTACCATTGCCCAACTGACTATAAGCATTATGACCCCATGTATACACTTCTCCTTCTATAATAAAAATGTAAAAAGCTGTTTTAAAATCTACTTTTTCGATGGCTACAAAACATAAAATTACAAACTAAAAGGTCAAATTCAATAACAGAGTATGCAGTTAAGTATTTATATTACCTTTTTGGTTCTTAATCTCACATATCAATGCCATAATCTCAGTAAAACAAATTAGATAGCTAAAAGAAAGGAGATAGTGCAGTACAGAAGAACAAAAGATGAAATTACTGTCAGGAGTCCCCATTTCAATTTCTATCTTCGTTACTAACCAACTTGTGACTCCAATCAAACAAGATTTCTCTGCTTTGTGTTTCTTATTTTTGAAACACTAATAAACTTTTCATTTATTTGCCATATACATGAAGGTGCTCAAATGAAAAGCAGTTATATGATGCTAATGTTTTTCAAAAGTACTATGCATACCCTGCACTTCAAGAAACACGTTATTGAGAATGTAAGAAATGTCTGACTGGGTTAGACCAATGGCCCATCTAATGCAGAATTCTGTCTCTGACTGTGCAATATAAGAAAGATGCTCTTTAGAGGAAACGTGAGCCTGGTCACATTTTGCAGTCCACTTCCCTTGTACTTCCCAAGCATCTACAGTCATCGGATTACAGACATTATCAGGTACAATCCTTCTGATTCCCTTTAATGTACATATACGGGCCTGTTATCCACGAAGCTAACACCTTTTTGTAGTCACTATGTAAAAAATAACTTACTTTCATCCGTTTCAAATTAAGTGTCCTCTAGGTACAGTAGCGCAGTGTTTGGTGAACAGCAGTTCTACATTCATCTTGTCCACCACCATCATGATTTTCTAAACCTAAATTATGCCGTTATTCCAAGAGAACGAGGCAAACATTTGACAAAAATTCCTTCAGATTTCTAAAGAGACCACCAAACTCCTTATCCGATATTTTCACTAAGAAGAAGGGTGCCCATTTCTCCTTCAGAACTGCAAAGGCAGTATGTGCTACACTAACTCACTATTTTTCTACAACAGCTTGTATCCACTGACTTTATCCTGCCAAAAGTAAACAACCTCCTTCTTGTATCACCACCATGAGGATACAAACTTCAGTAAATACATGAAATACAGCCATATAGAACCATATACCATAAGCTGGAAATGACAGGAATTAAGAATTGTGAAATAGGTAAGGGCTGTCTGAAAGGTAGGTTAAAAGAGTCTTTGCTGAATAGAAACTATTCATGAGAACGGAGTTACTAGCAGAAATCATCAAGGATCAGCTCTGGATCTGGTTTTGTGCAATACTTCAGTTCATGACCTGGATAAGAGATATGAGTGTGTCAGTGAAACCTGCCAGCAACAAAGCTGGGAATAAAACATGGAGGTACATTTAAGAAGAACCCATGATGGGTGACCTTGAAGACTGGAGAAAATGGTGGAATGTAGTTGAGTATAAAGAGCAGTCACACGTTTCTAACAAAGCTCATCTCACCTACCTTTAACCATCTAATCTAGACTACTCAGCCAGATTTTCTCCAGTTGAGAGTGAGAGAAATAATAATACCATAAGTCAGGCTCTGATGGAACCTCATTGGGAGCACAATCATCTGTTTTCAAGGATAACGTACGTAACGAATAGATACACAGAAAGGCTGCTAGCATGATGTTGATGATAGAACACCAATGAGACAAGGGAAAATAAAAGAGCTTGACTTGTTTAGCCTGACAGCCAAGAGGCAACACAACCAATCTCTGAAACGCGTCCAGAAGTAAATATACGAAAGAGATGCATTTTTGTTCTTGTGTTGCATTATGTTCTTGTTAGCACAAGAACATATGGGAATAATGTAGCCACTGAGACATTCTGAATGCAATCAGAAGCTCAAAACTGAATTGAGAAAAACTTTCCAGAAGCAGCAATAAGAACAAAGTTGAGGTTGAAAGCCTTATGAAAAGAACTGGCTATGAAAAGAGCTAGCTGACACATTGGCCCATGAAAACATGTTGAACCTGATAGAACTGGTACAGACATTCTGGGCTATTTCTTATCTTTCCTGCACAAATCTTTCACAATCTGCTGCGCTAATTAAAGTGGACCTATCTGAAAAAGTAACATTCTTTAACAATCATACTTTACCTTCTGTAGCAAGAACAACATGAGGGCCACTTCCATAACTCAGACAGGCTAGCTTTTTGCCACATAAAGTATCTAATCTCCTTGGTTCCATAGTGCTCTGCATGTCACCTGTTCCCAAACACCCACTGCAGTTTGTGCCAAGCACAAAAACCTGTTATAAAAGAATCACAGAATCATAATTTAGGTTGGAAGAGACCTCCAGAGGTCGTCTAGTCCAACAACCTGCTCAAAACAGATCTACTTAGATCAGGTTGCTCAGGGCCAGATCCAATTGAGTCCTGAACACCTCCAGGGATGGAGACCCCTCAACTACTCTGGACAACCTGTTCCAGGAGTTAACCACTCTCATGGTAAATTTTTTTTCCTACTATCTAATTGGAATTTCTCATGTTTCAATTTGTGTCTGTTGCCTCTTATCCTGTCACCACACACCTGCAAGAAAAGCCTAAATTAATTTTCTCTTTATCCTCCGATCATGGTAGAAAACTATTACTACTAAAATATTTTCAATATGAATTGGTCAAATATTTTCCTGACTCTCTGCACTACCTTTCATAGATATACTATCATAGTTCCGGCTTTCATTATAGCTTGACACACGGATGACCAAATATGCCATGCTCGCACACACACTTTTGGACAATTACCTCATCATTTTCAGTTGCATACAAGACTTCATTACCAGCACTGCCAAACACACAGGCTTGACGAATTAATTTGAGCTCCTCTTGGGAACAGAGAGAAAAAATTGGCCATTTCCCAACATCCAGCATCTTCAGGGCTGACAATAATGTTGCCTCCAAAACCTGGTATTATAAAAAGATACCAAATACATAAAAAGAGGGATGTGTATAACTTTGCGAAGTATAAATTCATAGAAACAGCATTCTCTCCTTTCTCAATGCCAAAACAATATTTCACTTCAGAAAGACACTTGGAAGGAAGCCGTTATAACAAACGAACAAAACCATACCACGATCCAGAAAGAAAGCAGTATACGTAAAGTACCATATAAGAAATTAATCGCTCAGGTCATATTTTCACTATATTCATATAGCGTAGCTCCTAGTTTGTCGGATTAAATGCACTAATACAGGGTGTAAAGTATATACTCAAAACCAGAAAATAATTTGTGCCTTTCCCTCTGGTGCCAAAATTATTGCTAAAGAAAGAGACCTTAAAAAATCTGCCCAGGAATATACCTGTCCTTGAAAAATATACACATTTGTTTTCAAGCAGTGGAAATGGAAACTTCTTTTTCCTTTATTGTTTACTTCTGAAATTGTATCTGTTTCACCAGTGTATCAGTTTCCTAAATACCGAATCTTTGAATTTTTCATTTTATGTAAGTAGACATATAATAAAAACATAATTGAAACGTCTCCTGTTTACCCAAGGACAAATAATAAGATTAAAGAAAAACAGCTTTCTCCAGACATTAAATCCAAGCTAATGTCTGAATCTCATGTAACATTTCTATTTTTTCAGTATAAGTCAGAAAAAATGTTGCCATACCAAAATTTAACAGCAAATTTTGCATGGATCATGTATCAAATTTCTTTAGCAAAATTAAAACAAGCTCTGGGGATGTGAAAGAATTGTAGCATCAATGGACAGCTCAAGAGATAAATAAGAGATTTTTGCCTGTCATAGGCGTACGTAACTCACCAGGTAACAGTGAGGACTGTGCCATTACGTTATTTCTACCAAGTGGCATATTTACAAGGTGATTTTTAACAGAGTATTATTTTTTCTACCATAAGGATACTGTTTTTTGACTATAATCAATTACTGCCAACTTGTAACCACTTATTATAGTATAGTCCCTGAGCCACCCTGCCCACTCGTTCCTAAACTTACAGTAGAGCTAATAAGAAGGAAGGACACCCAAACCTATCTTTCCATGTCCTTCGGAACACAGTTTTGCTTACATATTGCATGATATAATATACAGCCTGTTACAGAACTTTATACGACTAAAACCTATCCATAGTCCAACTCCTCTCTCTGGAACTGTCAGTTATACTCAACTCAGTAAGAGACTTACTCTCTCACTTTTTAATATTTTCTCCACTCCCACACTTTCCATCATATTTTGCCCCAAAATTTAAGACTGCTTGAACTATCAGCCTGCCAATGTTTTAACCTAAATTTTTCACAGTTATTGTCTCGTAAGCGATCAGTTCCCTCATATTGCATAGAACCATGAAAGACAGAGTTGCACAAGAATTTGAGATTTGCCCATCCACCTATCCCAAAGGTGTATCACTTATGCCTGAAGCATTCCTAAAAGCCCTCAGCTTTGTCTGATCTCAGCAACCAGTGTGATAGCCAGCTACTCAGTTTTCTTTGTCATTCAGGTTATCTTAAAAAGGCACCATCACTAAGCACCAAATCTAAATGAAGTGTTCCATTAAGTTTTACACTCAGTGTTAAAACAAAACAAAAGAGAAAAACGCGAGGAAATTTTTGCATCATATTGTGCTATGGAAGTAAATTCTTACAAGTTTATGTTTTTGAAACCTTAACTGGAACACGTAGCTTTGGAACTTAATACTAAATGAAATCCATCTTGTAAGTCAAAGAAGCAAATCAACATAATTAAAACGCATCTATTGTTCTTCCATTTTTTGTGGATTACATAAGCAATATTTCTTCTGCAATTATTACTTTTCTATCCACAGTTTTGATTCTCTGCTTATCTTCTAGCCTTGACTACGCTACTACTAAATGGAATCAAACTTCTTCCTCTTGAAGGGCAGCAGTACAGAATTCTCCATACAAAATTCACGTTCTGACCTTAACACTGACTCCTGGAGAAGGAGGAGATTCATCCTCCATACGGATCTGTGCCTGCGTCCCTCTGCGGAGAGAAGACTGTGGTTAAAATCACCATATCGTATTGCTGCAACAATATTTTATGGAACTACACACGCTTCATATTAAACTGGAACTATTTGCTTGTGTGAGTTGAGAAAAATAAAAAACATGAAGCTCCAACAATTTTGGTTTTGCACTGAGTTACAGAGTGATCAAACAGACAGAGACCCTGCTCTTCTGTATTCTTACTCAAAAGAGCAATTCTTGGATAAAACTTTTTTTCTTTAAACAAGTAGTAAAATTTTTATCAGACTGTAATAGAAAAGGAAAAAGTTTTATTAAATACTATACTCTGAAGTCTTTTTATTCGAATAAAAATAAATTTAGAAGTTTGCTGACTTAGTTTTCCAAGGCATTTATTTGAGCAAAGAAAAAGCACTTGGGACAGAGCTTTCCATTTCCAGCTTAAGCCTTCAAATTTTCTTATTCCAGTTCTGTTCTAAAAACAGAAGACAGAAAAAACACTTGAGTTTTTCAGGTTTACTGAGAATTCTTAAAATATTCACTTCATTACAGAAAAGACTGACAGCCCTGTAAATGACTCAAGTCATTTCCAACATGTGCATCATCAGTAGAAACAGATTTTCTAATCAGATGTTTTCCCAGAAGAATATGCACAACTCTACTATCCTTATTTCCAAACATAAAGCCATGCAAATCCATTTTCAGTAAGAATGAACAGATGAATAAGCAGCTCTAAAGCTATGAAAGCTTATTTTACTCAACGAGCAAGAAAGCAGTACACATCATTTTCTTGGCGATGCACTGATTCAGGCAATACTAAAAATCTATTCACGTTTCACCGAAAATTAAATGTCTGTAAAATTCTGACTACAGGCAGAATAACATCCAAAAAACAAGAAGCTACCATTTTACTAAGTTACTTCTCAGAAGATTACAGCACTTTAGAAGTAGTACCCAATGTAGCTTTATAAACCTAGCTAACCTCTCACTAAATTTTGGGCACTATGATCTAGGCCAAGGACCCAAACCACATGAAATTCGTATGGTTTAAATATTATCAATTTCTATGATTTAATAAATATGATTTAATCTAACGATCAAACAAGAGTTCTTTTTATTTACTTTAAATGAATAAAAAAACTGAGCAGTCACTACAGCTCAGCTATACCGAATATGCACATTAAGTATATGCTTGAGTACAAAACACAAATCTACGTACACATAGTGCAATTTATACAGTTAGTCTGAGACACTAAACAAGAAATTCAACTCATTTCTAATCCAGCTACTCTCCTGCCTGCGCTAATTTTGAGTATAAGGCTGAAACGCACAACCAAGCTGAAAGAACTCGAACTTAAGTCATGTTCCCTTTCAACCAGGATGGACTGAAGGATTCTTGCAGTTGCCCACATGCAGGCACCTAGTGCTAGTTGACAGAGTCTTAGGGATCCAAGACACCAAGGGAGCTGGCAGACAGGATACAGGACCTATAGGGAATCCACGCTGTGCTGGAGCATCATCTAGGAACCACACAGCACTACAGTTATGTCTGTGCAACTGGAGAGCCCTGAATGAGCACACATGGCCAGTTAATCAAGGTTTGCAACTTAACAGGGTAACTTGTTAAGCTGCTTGCTGTGATGCAATTTGTTACTGTTTTATTTTCTTCAATTATAGTTATTTGTTTAAACAACAAGAATGCAAGCAGCTGATTTTACGCGCATCCATCTCTATTTGAAATAACTACTATAATGAAGGCCTTTGGTATAACCACAGTCTGAGCAGGACTATGCTACTTGACCGTAGTTTTGAAATGTTTACATTCAAGTATGTGAATCGTCCTCCCGTAAGGTACAATATCAAGGCCTTAAAGTATTTCACAGCATCAGTTTCCAGTGCTCCCTAGCAATGCTGATATGCTATAACCCATTTCTTGGCCATCTTTAGCTTAAACACTAACCGCGCACTGCTGAGAGGTTCCCCAGGAGAACAGTTATTAAATATGAATTTTCTGATTTAAGTGAACACAGAAGTCTACATTTTTTCTTCAATAGTTTTGAAATACAGCTGACATTTTTTAACTCCTCAAGTTCTATTATTTCAATTCAGTTGCTTCTTTTTAGACTGAAGCACATAGTTTGTCTTTAAAGGCAGTTATACTTGTTAATACAAACCCATATACCAATTTAGCATGGCTCATTTCAGTGATTCTCCATCCCTCTCCTTTTTCAAAGAGCTTGACTAAGAAACACGCTGACAGCTTTGCACTGATTTTTTTCAAGAAAATACGCACTTACCTGTCTTCACAACTCAAAAGATACAACATGTTTTATCTGAAATACAACTAAGAAAGCTGTTCTGCAACCTGTTCTACAAATACAGACACCTTATTTTTGAGAAGCCTTACAGGAATACATGGAATGCTTCAAATTGCATAGGTTTATTAATTTATTCAAATTCATTTATTCTAATAAAAATATATACTAATTACCACATGTCTGCAACTGCAAATATGTTGTTTCTAAAAAACCTATAATTGATTTAAGAGTACATACGCACTCTTGGATTCTGAAAACAAAAAAAGAAAAAAAAATCACTAAGCCTAAGAATTATTTTTATCTGTATAGCTTTAAAATACTAGCAATGATTCATATTTGCCTGAAGCAAAGAAAAAATAATATTTTCATCAGAGGCTGAAAAGAAAAATCTGAATATTTGAGAACTTCAAGTATAGAAATAAAACAGAGCCTTAGCTATTAGAGATAAATTATTGGGGCTGTTCATCTACTAAATCTTAACACAGGCATATAATTGCTGAAGAATCTTACTTTAAAATAGGTATCCATTAATTAAAAAAAAAAAATCTTGACACTTACTTTAAAAAGTAAAAACCTAAGAGATATTTCTCATGTATTAAAACTTGATATATATTTTCACTAGCTGTTTTTCCAAAAATTCTGAAGTACAGATCTAAAAAAAAAAGCTAACTCTACTGTAAACAACCATTTTTTTGAGGAAGTATACAGCATTTTAATATAAAAATATTTATATTAAATTTAATATTTTACAGGTCTCATATCTGGAATCCAATTGCAATTTAAAAATGTGGAGAGCATACTCTGGCATTCTGAGTTTAGGTTACGGAGTTTTTCAGTTCTGACCTTGGATTTGCCCCTGATGGTGCTTTGTCTTTCGACAAGCAATGTATGCTCCTGTGGTACAGGTAAGATTGAGCTAAGAAATACAAATACGACTGAGGTCTGATTAGGATAATAAGACCATTTAATCATAAATATTTAAACAGGTTCACTGAATGTTCATTTGAATGTAACATTCTCGTAGATTCTCTCTCTAGCAACTTGGCAAGCAAGTAAATTTTTTTTTTTTAATTCCACTTAGTATCTCCTCCCACTTATTTTGAGTGCTTATGAATCCCATCCACTGAACCAAAGGCACGTGTGGAGCTTCTTCCTCCTAGGTCTCTAACAACTGGCTAAGGAAAAATCAGGAGGAAAACGTCACAGAGAAAAAGGACTTACTCTCACCTCTATGGAAAGGTCCTAATCTTCTCTGATCTTCTTAATTTCTCAGCAGTTTCCTACAGTAGTGATCATGAAATGATGCTAACTTGTCCAAGCAATCTTGCAGGAGAGGACAAAACAGTAATATTGGCTACAATTATTCCTATTGAACAGATTATGAGGAATCGCAAAGGTCACATTTCCTTTCTAGGAAGACTCATATAGAGGTTTCTCTCATTAATGTTATATTCTTTCTTCAGTATGTGTCATTACAAAGCTTGAACAAACATCGAAATCTTATTATGCCATCCAGTGCTGACAGCAAAACTGACGGAACTCAGCTCTTCATTTACTCCTCCACTGAGGCAGCATTTTTTCATTACCAGACCCTGAAAAACAGCAAATACTTGTTTGAAGAGCAGCTATTCAAACTAAATCATATCAAGTTGCACAAGAAAGAACAGGAAAAAGCCCTGACAAACTAACAAGAAAAATATCCTCCTCTGACAGAGGTATTCAAACACTAATCATGCAGGAAGAGATCAAGGTTCTTTTCTCTTTCCTTACTTGCTCCTTGAAACCAGACTGACTTCTTGGCTCCAGAAGCAAGCTCTAGTGGCTGCCTACTTATTTCAAGATCAGACGTACAGGCAGTTTATAAGCTAGATCCAGGACATGTTGAAAAACTGCATGTTCGTCTTTGACCTTGCAAGGCTGCTACGTGCTACAGAAAAGTTCAAATTGAAATGACCTCAGATAAGACAGCCTTATTGGCTCACTCTCCAGGGGCAAAACTTCAGCCATAAACATCTTGTTGCAGGCCAGATCTCTTTAAAAGGTGATGCTTAGTCGCACCTGTTGGCTCCAGAGATGGACCTCCTCTATCTGAGCACGACCCCAACAAAGTTAATCAGAGGTTCATCCTATATGCAGTATGTTGTACTAGAGCTAAATGTTTTAAACCTATTCACAAAGATCTTTTTTCAGTAGTAACATCATCCCCCAAAAAAGAAATTAATTACCAAGAAGAATTAAAGCACAGAAGGAGAAGATGGAAACAACACACAAAAGGAAACACTAGCACACCAAGAACAAGGAAGAGAGTGGGAACAGTATTTTGTAACTCATGCTCAGCACTATCTCTTAATATAGCTTCAATACTGCTGTGACAGAGAGAAATACATCAGGGAAAAATGTTCTGAAATAAGTGAGAAGACAGGAAAGAAAACAGAGGATATGGTTTGAAAGCAATTCAGCATTATGGAAGTTTAGGTTTTGTTCTTTCAGCTTTTCTGTGGTTTAAAAAGAAGTGTCAGGATCTGGTATGAAATTTCCGCTTGAAGTGACAAAATTGCTTTGAAAAATCCTACAGTGACTCTTGGAACACCTTTCCGCCACTGCGAGAAAAACCTTGGGGCTCCAGGCGAGTAAGATAATTGAATAACTTGATTTTTATAAAAAACAGAGGTGGTATGGCATAAAGCTCACATTCAGTTACTCCGCTTCTTCCATCCCTATTCCAGTGCCTTTTTCCCCCCCTGAGAACCGCTCACTGCTGTAGAATGGTGTATTGTTTGCTAGCGAGCAACATGAGTGGAACTAACTACAAAAAAATGCATCATCTACCAGAGGGAAAACATTAAAGGAAAAGAAAAAAAAACACCCTTTTTTTTTCCTCTCATTCTACAAATTCTCCAGTCACTTTGGAAAAAAAAAAAATCATTTAAATGCTGTGGGTATCCATCTACTTGATTGAAAAAAATATAGTCTTGAATGAAGTGAGTAGCAACTGATAAAAAAGAGTAACTGCATAACAGACTAATGAAAGGCAAAAGTACAAAGATTAGAAAGTAGTAATAAAGTTTATATTAAAAACACGCATCCCTAAATAGACTTACTGAAATGTCAAGGTCAGCAGCATAAAAAGAATTAAACTTCATAAAACAAAGCGTCAATCAAAAAGATTTTCACTTACAAAATATTTACACTTCTTCCTACAGATGCAAAAACACCTTTTGAAAGCAATGAAGTGTTTCAGATGATGGAAGCTGAATGCAACTACTCGCAATGCTGAAAAGCAGTATGGTAGGATGTTGGGGTCATTTTCACATAATTAGTGGTTTCCTTCTGCAGTAAAAGAAAAAAAAAATACTGTGAGCACTTTCTCCAGATCTTTCAGTGTATCAACATAAGGAAACATTTTGTTAAACAGTTTTTTGGGAATAGTGTCATTCCTACACCTAAATCTAATACCTTATTGTTGAGGGAAAGCATTGTTTTCAGTGTGGCTGATCTCAGATTTTCAGAGAATCATCTTGAAAAGCTCTCTCTTCGCTGAACTGCTAGCCAAATTCCAAACATACTTTGTGTTTTGTTCCTGTAATCCATACATACATGTAAACATAATAAAATATTAACAACTGTGGCATTTACTCCATTTTTAGTTTAATAGCTCTTTCCTATTTTAAACATTGGATAAAATTTAATATACCATATAATGCAATTAATTTGGTATAACTGAAATTTATATTGATTCTTTTTTCTTCATTTTGACCTTCAGACATAAGCTATAAAACAGGAGAGCTCAAGGAACCAGCTTAAGGGAAACAAAAGTATTCCAAAGATCTGGTTTTAGAAGAACTTTATTTAAAAATATTAACCACACAACATAGCAAATTAATACTGTAATATATAATAATAGAGTAAGTATATGAAATAAGTTGATGAATATTATATTTTTACACATTTATAGAATCTTAATATGGAAACGTTTAAGCCTTAAGAATTTAAGGAACACTAACAGGTTATCAGGTTGTTCAGGATAAATTGTGTGTAAGCTTCAGATGTTAAGCTGCACTGCACCTGCAAGCAGGAACCTCAAAATGGACATCAGTTCAATGCCATAAAAACATCGTGCTAGGCAAGAGCCTAGCTCTTTTAACATGTAATTATAAATATTAAATTACATTAACATAAAACCAGTAAGCAAACGTACTAGTTTTGTTATGCCACCTCTAAGCAGATCTAAGCTAAATTGTTATTAGTCTGTAGCTATATGATTCAGCCAAATTCTGTGCCTTACATAATATCTTAACTGATGGATCTTTTACTTCAGTCAACTCTTGCTGTTAACAAACATTCACAGTTTCTACAGCTCTAACCCATAATCCTTAGATGTTTAAGGAATCCTTAGATGTTTAAGGAAGGTCTTTCTAGCCTAACTTTGGCTAAAAGCTACAATTTATAAGGTGTATCTTCTAAAATTTTAATAACAGACCTAAAAAAGCCTATAAGCATTACTAAATCACATCCGGCCTTATTTTCTACATTCCCTGATCACTTGGAGTTTGTACAGTTTTTCTGCATAATGGAGCCTTGGTCCATGATATGGGCTTCTACCTACAGGTAAGAAGTCTCAGCTGTAAAAATGTTGCATTACTGAGTTGCATTACATTTCTACAGCCCTTGGCACTCCAGGACAACTGACATCACTCATTCATCTCCCCAATTTTTCAAAGGTTGCCCCTCCAAAACCAAGAATTTCAAACTTATTTTTGTTTAGCCTTCTACTTAATTTCTATTTATTTAATCAAATTAAAAATGTAACCCACTTATTAAACCAGCTCTTCTCAGAATTTCCTCACGCTCCTCATTGAAAGCAAGTCTAAAGTCTACTAATTCAGCGTCTGTTTGGTAAGCTGAGTTGTTGTATGTAAGTATAACTGTTATATGTCCTTCCCAAATGATGCCATTGTCTGTATCTAAAAAAAGAAAATCCAGTCATGACATAATTTGTGGTAAGTGATAACTTTACCCAAATCCAACTCTGGTAGTCTAGCGCAGATAGCATTAAAAGCTCTTAGAATTTTACTTCCTCAAAGCAATGCTAAGCTAATTCTTTTTTTACCCACACAACTTCTCCCTACTACTTTACAGTTCATCGCATCATTAGCATCCAATGCTACTCCATCATATTTATTTCTCACGCCTGGACAACATTAGCTCTCCTCCCTGCTATTCAGCAGGGCCATGATTTCTCAGTGCTTCCCTTAGCTGTGTCCGCTTGCACGCTCCCCGCCATCTCGTTCGTTGCCCAGGTGGATTACAGTGATGCACAAAGGTAACTGCCCACACACCTCACTCCACTCCTAGGAACAAAGGTAGGAACAAAGGTCCCTTTGCTCATTGTGCCCTGTCTTCTGTCCCATCAATACTAGAACTTCCCTCTGTGCGACCACCCAAACCCTCAAGCACTGATAATCCTTTATCTATCCTTAAATCTTAAATTTCCCAGCTAGTCGCTTTCCCTGCATTAAACCGTAGCTGGGCATCAAGCTAAGCCTGCCTGACCCACCGCACGCTTCATACTCCCTCTACGCACCGGAGGACAGAGCTCGCCGGCGCTACTCCAATTTAACCCTTGCTCCACTAAAATCGCGCCGCGGGTTACAAACCCGCCCTGCAGCAGAAACTGCGCCTACACACCGCGCCCCCTGCCCTGCCAACGGGAGGCAAACGCAAAACCCGCCTGGCGCAGGCAAAACGGGAAACGGCTCC